TGATGGGCTTTCGAGTCTTCCCGCGTGTGGTATGATCCGATAACTTAAAAGCATCCTCGGTAGAAAAACTTCTACTTTTTCTTTTTGCTGAGAGCATGCTTTCAGCCCCTTTTTTACAGTCTGAACCATTCTTTCTGCTAGTCCGTTTGATTGAGGGTGATATGGAGGTGTCTTATATGGTTTACACCCTATTTTCTCTAACCATACGTTAAGTTCTCCCTCGCAAAATTCCAGTGTATTATTCGATACCAAGGTTTTTGGTACACCATTTCTAGAGAATACAACTCTTAGAATTTGCTTTATAGTGGAACTTTTCTTGTTTGTAACCCTTATTATTTCAGGCCAACCTGAAAAAGAGTCTACTAATATTAATAAGAGTCCCACTCCATTTACGTAGGCATGATCCATATGGACCCTACTCCATGACTCCACTTCTTTGGGCCATGAATGTAACTTGGCTTGTGTAAAGTTTCTTAACTCTTTACATTTCTTACACCTCTTTACATAATTCTCAACGTCTCTTGAATAACCCAGCCACCAAGCTTCTAGTTTTATCCTTTTTTGTGTGGTCGCTACTCCACAGTGTATATCATTATGTACACACTCTATTAGTGGCTTTCTTTGTGTTTCTGGGGGAACTACCAGGTCCCCATTGCATATTACTCCATGTTCTATTGTTAATTTATGCCTCATTTCTTTATAAGATCTTTCCGCCCTAGAACAATTTCCCCACAAATTTTTTCTTATTCTTGATAGTATCCTGCTTAGCATTGGATCATGTCTCGTTTCCGCAGCCATTCTGTCTAAAGACAAAACATCAGTCTCTATCAAGTGTAGGAACGAATCTTCAAATTCTTCCTCTGTTTTGTCTTTTGACTCCTTGTAAAATCTCAATCTTGATAGTGTGTCCACATGTGGAATTGAATTTCCTTTGACATACTCTATATCAAAGTCAAATGCCATCAATCTTATCACCCATCGTAGAATCCTTGATGTCGTGAATTTTGGTAATTCTTTCCTTGGGTTAAATATAAACTCCAATGGTCTATGATCACTTCTTAGTAAAAATTTTTTTCCAATTAAAAATTGTCAGGCTCTGGTAGTTGTCCACACAATAGCCAATGCTTCTTTCTCTATGTTTGAGTAATTAAATTCAGTGTTCGTTAACCTTCTCGACAAATACATTATCGGATGTCCTTCTTGTGATAATATTCCTGATATTGAATGTTCACTTGCATCTGTAGTGAGTGTTATGTCCTTTTTTGGGTCAAAAATTTTCACTACAGGTTTCTTTGACATTATTTCTTTTAATGTTTCAAAAGCTTTCTGCTGTTTGCCTGACCAGATAAATTCTACATTCTTTTTTCTTAAATTTGCAAACGGTTCTGTCAAGTTCATGTATTTTGGTAAGTATCGCCTGTAAAAATTTATCAATCACAAAAAAGACTCCAATTCTTTTTTATTTGTAGGTGTAGCTACTTTTAGAATTTTTTCTATCAAGGCTTGATCTGGTGATATACCTTCTTTCGAAATGAAATAACCTAAAAAAGAAAGTTTGTTGGAGTTGCTTATGCATTTTTTCTCATTTATCGTCATTCCCACATTTCTTAATCTATTCAAGACTAATTCAGTTTTCTCTTTTATTTCCTTTTCATTAGTAGCTCCTGTGCATATGTCGTCTTGGTAACAAACCATATTTTGTACATTTCCTAAAACCTGTTCAATGGCCCTTTGAAATATGACGCTTGCTGTTTTTACTCCATATGGCATTCTCTTCCATCTTAGTAACCCTATTGGCATATTTATCGTGGTTACTTCTTTGAAGTTTTCATCTATTGATATTTGATGGTATGCCGTTTTTAAATCTATTTTTGAAAAAACAGACATCCCTGCCAATGCATGTAATGCAAGTTCAACATTGGGTATGGGATATGAATCCGAGCATATCTTGTGATTTACTCCTATTTTGTAATCTCCACAAATACGTAAATCACCATCTGTTTTCCTCAACACTACAATCAGTGATGCCCACTTGCTACCTCCAGGTGGAACATGTTCTAGAAGGTCTTGTTCTACTAATTTACGTAGTTTTGTCACTACTAACAGCAATAAATGTACTGGTAATTTTCATGCCTCATAATAAGAGGGGGAAACATTTTCTTTTACTTTTAAACTTGCTTCATAGTTTTTTAACTTTCCAGTTTTTTCCATTTTTATTTCATTAATTAACTTAGTAGAATTCATATTAAGCACGTCATTTCCAATAAGGCCATGGTTTTTCTTGCAACTTGTAACAATTACAGGAATTACTTCAAATTTTTCTTTTTTAACTCCAATGAACCTTTGAAGTATCCTAATATTCTTATAATGGATCCATCAAACTAGCGGAGTTGTAAATTGCTTTTTTTGTAAAGGTGGCTTACCTATGTGTTCCCAAAAAATTTTTTGGTATCAATGTTACTTCACTCCCAGTATCCATTTGCATATCTAAATTGCAGTTATTAATTTTAACCTTTACTATAACGTCTTTTTTCTTCTGTTCAAAAGTCTTATTTTTCATTGTAAAAACTTCTCTGCCGGTGTTGTTTTCTTCAACTCTTTCCACATTTTTCTTTTTTAATTTACACACTGCTTGAAAGTGGTTCTTTTTTAAACAATTATTACAAGTTTTCCCAAATGCTGGACACTTTTCCTTTTTCATTTCGTGTTCATGTCCACAATACAAACACTTTTTTATCTTGTTTACTGCATATATATCAGCAAATCTTTGTTCGCTGGGTTGACTTTTATAATGGTGGTATATCTGTATTAGCTCTTGTTGCTGCATAAATTCAATACAAGCATTTAAAGACATCTTTCCTATTTGTAACTGTTCCAATATTTTATAACAGTGTGATGCATTGGACATACCTTCAATTAGTCTTATTTGAATCAAGTCCTCTTCAATGGTCTGTTCGTCTTATCCAAGTTTCTCAAATTCACAATATCTACTTGCATTTTGTAGACGGTGTAAATATTTTATAATTGGTTCGTCCATTTCTTGTTTCATTGACATGAATTTCATTCTTTCTGCCACTACCAGCCTTTTCTTTTGTCTCATATTTTTTTTTATAATCTGACTTATTTTTTCGAAAGTCAGGCCTTCCAAATTTAAGAGATATGCCATGGTGGAGACTTTCATTACCGCCTCACATCCAGCTGTAGCCAAAAATAAATCCGTGATTTCATTTTCGCCTCCCTTTTCCTTGTCTTTCAACTTTTTTGTTCTCACAGTGGCAGAGAAACAACGAATCCATGTATCCACAAAATCTAGATCTTCCAGAGACAATTGATATCCTATCGGCAATGCCATTGTTGTGAAGTTAAAGTTAGCACTAGTCAGCTGCTAAGCTCATACTTGCTCGTGGTTATTCTCAGTAACCGCTTATATTGAATGTTCAGTTCTGCTTATGCAAATTATGCATACTAATTTGCTAGTATCACTACAGTTACAGAATAGGAGGCACAGATTATGCAGATATGTGTGGAAGATATCAGTTAACACTAAACAAGTTAAGATTGTAGTGATTGAGGAAGCATCCTCTTTCATAGAGCAGTGGCTGCTACAATGCGTGTGGCATGGCTGGTCTTAGCCATGAAGATTCAGACTGGTTCATCTCAACACTTTCCATGCAAATAGTGATAGAGCAGCGAGAGGCTTATCTATGGGAAAGGTGTTGTAGGGTGGAAAATAATTTGTTACCCACAAGGATGTGGAGACACTTTTGGACTCTGTTGAGAGTGGAAAGTGAAGACTGGGTGGCTCTCATCCATATTTGGCAGGAGTACACTCCATTTTCATCCTAATCTGGCTCTTATAAAGGTAGAGGATAACAGAAGTCAAATACTTGCTGAAATGGTACAGAGAACTGTCCATTTATCTAGGATCTTTAGTGATGGTTCATATGTACGAATTATGCAAAGTAAAAAGAGGGTTTAATAGAGAAGCAAAACTTGGGGGATGCCTGCACTGATCACTTGAGCTTTTGAGGACTGTCCTTTAACAACCACCTTCAGGGGACCTACCTAATAAGGATTTTATGAGAAGACTCTTCCAGTGATTCAATTGTGAGAGAGCTTGTGCAGTAACCCTTTGTGCCATACTCTGTCAAAGGCCTTTGAAATATCTTATGCGAATGTCCTTCCTTGAGATGTATTTGTTGTTTAGTGTTGCATTGATTCCGTGAGTAATCACAGTGAGGATATCAACAGTGAACTGGGCTGATTAAAACCCATACTGTTTGTCACTTTTGTTCCTACTGAAGTAATCAACAATCTTCTTGTTAATTATAGATTCAAAGAGTTTGCTAATGTCACTGAGGTGGCTGATGGGTCTATACTGTGAGTGCTCAGCTACATTCTTGAAAACTGGTCATACATAAGACACCTAAGGTCATGTTAATACTCTTGTCTGGACCAGTGTGCTTCTCAGGGTCAAGACTTTTGATAAGTCTTGAGACTTTCCAAGCTGTAATGAAAATATTACTGAGATGTTGGGGTGGTTGGGAAGGGAATGGCATTTGCTGTGTTCTGGAATAGATAAATATTGGTCATTTATATTTTAATCTATAAGCATTTACTAAGTTCAGGAGTAGGTAAATATTAGTTGTTTATATTTGAAATTATAGGAATATATTTGGTAAGTAGCTCATTTTTTTGCATGGTGAAGGTTTTACCCTGTTGCTAACAATGCAGTTGGCATTTTGTAGACCATACTAAGAGGACACAGCAGGAAAAAAGTATGTTGTGTTAGAGCAGTGATTTTCAGTGTGTGTAGGGGTTGCTATGAATCCTCAAGGGTGCAGTAAATATTCAAAGGAGTTAGAAGGTTGTGATAATTTTAATAAGGCAATGATTTAATCCTTTGAAACCTGTTTGGGAGAAGTTTCAACATTTTATATACAGATTCAATTTCAGTTGATTTCTTTTGTGAACATATAAAATGATAATTTTATTCTTACCTAAACATTGACTGATTGAGTAACTTCCATTTGAATGTGTTGATGTTCCATTTGGACATTTCATACAGCTTCCAGTTATATTGATAGATCGATATTCACCCACTGGACAAGGAATGCAATCTGTTTGATTACTGTATGTGCCACTTGGACATTTATCTGAAAATGAAAATTGATGCAAAATTTGATAAAGTTTAATAAAAATTTAAAAAGGCCATCTAATTATCTCATATATATATATATATATATATAGATAGATAGATAGATAGATAAGATAAATACAAATATAAAATGTCACTTGGCTGATTGATATTAAATTCAGCACTCCAAGTCCAGAGTTTTGTAGCCAAATCTTTTTGTAATCATTCGGTCCACTCATCATTAGGTATCAGCAATTGTCTGCCAATTTTCACATTTTTGCTATTTTTATATAAGTTAATAAGTTCAGTCTCAATTTTTTTTATTAAATCTTTCAAATTTCTGAATAAATTTAGTTTTATCAGTAAATTTGCCAAAATTCATTAACTTTTATTTTATATTATTCCTCTACTCAAAGTACTTTCAAATGTGTCTCCATTTGTTTTCAAGGTTACTTCTGTGTGTAGCAATGCAACTGGGTTTTAATGAAACACTCTTCAATATACAATTCCCTCCGGAGAAGGACACTGTATTTACTGTTAGTTTCTTCTCTTTTATAAAAACAGCCTCCAGAATTTGTAGTTTTCCTTTGCACTGTATCCTGTATACAATTTTGGTGTTATCAACTATAAATAAACATTCTTTCTGCCAAAATACACTTATATATATATATATATATATATATATATATATATATATATATGTATGTATGTATGTATGTATATGAAATCAACAAAGTCTGATAATTATTTTAATTTATTGTCTTAAAATAATTGTCGGACTTTGTTCATTTCATAATGTGTGACATCATTTGTTTACATTTCATATGCCATGAGCAGATATGAATGTACGTGAGAGATTCATGGATGATTGAAGTTTAAAAGCAGTAAATTCGACCTTGCTAACCGAACGCTCCTCTGTGGCTGAATCGGTTAAAAGGCACGTCAGGCTATATGATGGTTCTGTATAGGATACAGGTTCAAATCCTGTCGGAGAACGAATATTTTCTATGAAAATTTCTCAGACATTCAGGCTGGTAAATGTTGTTTAATACTGTTTATTATAAAAACAGAGCATTTACTTAAATATTTGTATCTAGAAAAAGAATGTATAAACATAAAATGTCTTATATATATATATATATATCATTTTATCATATAGACAAAAACAGTTTATTCGCTACAAAGATGCAACTTCATTTCAGGGCATTTCAAACTGCACCTCGATGGGTGAGAACTGAAGAATCTACTATCAGTATGGAGCCCTCTTTTGGATTAATGCTGTGAACGTTAGAATTTATATATCACTCTCATTCTCATTGCATCTGTTATATATATATATATATATATATATATATATATATATATATTATATAAATTAACTCATTTAAAATATGGTTTCTTCATTACATAGAATATTAGGTTTCATCTTCAAGTGAATTTTGGATTCCAAAATTCGCTTGAAGATGAAACAGAACTAATGCTTTTTAATTTAATTAATTGAAATTAAATTTGAAGTTTTTTTTTCATTTTTTCAAACATGGTAAAGGGACCATATTTGAAATCAGTTAATTTATAATATTTATGCTCTGTAAATTTACATTGACACATTGTTTTGTAAAAATAAAAAAATATCAATAACACCACCAGATTTAGTTCTTGCTTTAGTATTTAATATATTTTTTATATAATTTTATATATATATATATAAATAAATATCATATTATTTTCATTTTTGTGTAACTTATGACAATTTATGCATTTATTTTTAATTTGCAGGTGAAATGGACATTGGTGTTTGAAGTATTCTTAATTGTATTGTATGTAATTTATATGCTCGGTTTGAATAAAACAGTTACAGCTTTCTATGTGAATCAATTTGATATTTTTTATTTAAAAGGATTCATTAAAATTTTTATATATATATATATATATATATATATAGTCCCAACAGTCAATTTCATGATCTGAAAATTGCATTGAAGCATGAAACAAACTGTTCTAATTGACTCGGATATATATATATATATATATATATGGGCATGAGATTTGTATGTGTGTGTATGTGTGTGTTTAGATATATATTTTGATTATTATTTTTTTTATGAGATTGGAATAAATTAATTATACTGCAAATAAGAATTTTGTACTGAAAAATCAACTTTGAAAACTTGAGGGGCACGTCACAGTAATGAAAAATTACATTGATAAGTTAAGAACGACGTTTTTCATATGCCACGCCCATTTAGATTCGACAGATTTTTTAGTAACCTATTGATGTGATTGTATCCAGGCAACATTTCAGATTCAAGTGGGTTGAGTTTTACATGGAAAAACAATTTATAATTTATAGTCAGCTAGAAAAA